AATGAAATTCACAGAGAAGTAGTTTTCTAGTGCCTGAAATATTTGTATTCTGAAGTATTTTTGACATCGAAAGATAAATGAATACTTTCAGATTTCACTATCAGTGAACCAGAAAATAAAGATGATATTTTCAATTCATTTTGTACATATGGATGATTGAAGCTTTTGAATATTAAAATGCTTAATAGGCAAAGATTTTATTTTTATAGTTTATAAATAAATGAGCAGATGTTTAGTTGTAATTTACATTTTAAATTAGAAACTTAAGCTTATTCATAGTAAGATATGCATAACATACAAAGACAGGCCATGGTAAACTATACATATGTCTATATTCTTAAACAAACTTTCCATTTTTAAACTGTGCTGATCCTAGCAATAACATGAGTTATTGATAATAATATCTTGACTTAATTTCAATCTTAAATTTGTGTCTGTGTGGAGACAGAGAGATTTCAAGGAGATATGGGAAACGGCAAAACCGTGAAGTAAGATGAAGAGGATTATGGTTTAAAGCATTCACTTTATTTATTTGCACACCTTGGATTCACCATGAAAACATATCACTTTAATTTTTCCCATACTCAATGTAGAAACAGGTTCAAGAGGAATTTGTAAACACAAAAAGAACTTGACAGTCAATAAAAGGGCATCTTTGTGTTTCTAGTTAGAAATCCCAGCCCCAGGTCTATTTAGAATGGCCTGCATTCAACTTTATTTAATCTGACTTGTGGTTTTCATTTTTCTCCCAAGCCTTCCATGGTTAAGAACCTTTTTAAGATTATAAGCATCTGTCAAAAAGGTTGGTCTGATTATAAGGTCTGTCTGGTCAATCACAGAAGGGATCCATCAAAAGTCTATGGTTCAGAAGTCCCTGAAGCTGTTCTTAGCTTGGTTCACTGCATCCTACTGGATCCTTTTGGCTGGAAGTCTTTCTGACCACAGTGATTTAAAAACTCAAATGATGGCTCTTACACTGGGTCCATGTGTCTTTTTCCACTGTACCCATCCTAGTTCAGGCACCGTATCTCATGAGAAAGTATCCAAAAAACTGGTAACTGCTTTTTCTGCTTTCACCCCTTTCACCCTTTCCACTTACAGATCAGGCCAGACCTACTTCTCTGAGAAACCCAATGCTTGCTGGATGTCACCTAGATTTCTAATGTTCAAAGTACTCCACGTCACTCTTCCCAACTCCCCTTCACTAGACTCAATCCAACCCTCTCTTCAGGATAAACTAATTTACTTTACAGCCCTCCAAATATGCCCAATATGGGCTCAGCACTGTCATTGGCTCAGCATCCCCTTGTCTGGAATGCCTCTTCCTTCTCCACTTCTCAATTGCCTCTTTGTCTACTAAAGTTTTACCTTCCTTTAAGGCCAATGTCAAAGGTTAGCACTTTCCCAGACTGTTCTTAAGACTGGCCCAGCAAGCATCATCTCCTCTTTGAGCAAGCTTCTGCTCTTTCAGCACTTGCAGTCAGGCTTCTCTATTGCTTATTCACATCATGCCCATTATTAGTCTTTTCTCGTGCTGTTAATAAAGGCATACCAAGACTTGGTAATTTATAAAGGAAAGAAGTTGAATGAATTCACAATTGTACACGGCTGGGGCAGTCTGACAAACCTGGCAGAAGGCAAAGGAGGAGCAAAAGCACATCTTACATGGTGGCAAGCAAGAGAGAGTGTGGGCAGAGAACTCCCCTTTATAAAATCATCAGAACCCCTGATACTTATTCACTAATCACAAGAACAGCACAGCAACAACCTGCCCCATGATTCAATTACCTCCCATTTGGTCCCTCCCAAGACATGTGGGAATTATGGGAGCAGCTACAGTTCAAGACAAGATGTGGGTGGGGACACAGCCAAACCCTATCAACACCCTTTCCTCTTCTTTGATTCTACTCCTGAACTTAGCTTATCCTTCTCTGTATATAACAAAGCATCTTGTGTTGTGTGATTTACAGAAGCTCAAGAAATACTGATTGAATGACATGAACAAGGAAAGAGCAAGCAAGCAATGTACTTAGCGGGAAACTTTTACATGAGACTCAGGTTTCATTTTGAAGAAACCCAGGTCAATGTGTAGATTATCTTGGCTCTACCTCTTTAAACAGAGCACAGATTGACATATGCAAGTTGCATGCCAGTATGTTTTAAGTAGAGAAACAAAAGGAGTGTCTTTACATTAGTGTTTCCTTGAAAGAAGATAGAGATCATTCAGGACACCAGATTTTTTTCACTTATTTTGAGGATCTTTACAAAGGAAAATGGCACTTTCAAGTCACAATGATAATATAGCCATCTGTTTGGGTTTGATCCTACCAGCTCTGCTAGGGGAAATCTTACTTCATATTGGCTGAATTGCTCACACGAGTCTTAAAGATAAAACAATTTGAGAAATTGAAAATACGAAGTTGTCATTTTTACCACTGTGTGTACACATTTTAAACACACGTGGTTCATAGCTCAGTTTTTAAAAATTCAAGAGAACACTGCTCACCTAAATTTCAGAAAACATGCCTAATGTCTGTATTTTAAGATCATCATATTTCTATTATATTTTAAGACATGAGAGGACAAGATAGGATTCTTGGATTATTGGGGCCATCCTTCAATTTTCTTCTTACTCTTTTCATTTAACCCTTCAACAAAATTAATCAAATGCCTGGCACTATACTGGATATATCTGATAAGCTCAAAAGACATACTTCTTGTGAACAGTGTTATTTAGACATAGTCCTTTTTTTCACACAAAATTTAAGTTTCACTACTGAAGCCACTGGTTTTCCCTAAAGCCAGTACTTCTTGACTCTGTAATTGGTACCAATGGTATGATTTGTTTTCCTTGGGTTGAAGCAAAAAAATCACCAAGGGCTTCAATATCTTTCACACAAATGGTTGCAATACTCTTCCAATTAAATGTACTAACTTCAATAATTTTACACTTTAATGAATTACACATGCATCAATATTCATCTTCCTAAAGTTTATTACTTAAGGGCTAATGACTCAAACTATCCCTTATGGCATTTTGTAAAATTGTCTCAACCTACTTTTCCAATCTTAATATGCCAATTTTTTTGGTAACAATACCAATGACATAACTCACATTCAATTATTTACTATCCCAAACATACCTAGCCCTTCTCCTAGTGTGTATATTTACTCAGGATCTTCCTCTCTGTGACCCTCTCTTCCTTCTCTACACAACCATAGAAATTCTCACACTGTCCAAGAAACACCTCGAACAACAAATTTTCTATAGTCTTAAATGACTCTCATTTAAGATGCATACATATTTGAGTTATACCATTCCTGGAAACCTATAGCTTATCATCTGTTTTTTCTTTTTCTGATTTTCATTTGCTTTTTCTTTAGAGACAGGATCTTGCTTTGTTGCCCGGGGTGCAGTCGTGTGGTCATAGCTCACTGCAGCCTCAAACTCCTAACCTCTAGTGATCCTCCTGCCTCAACTTCTCAAGTAGCTGAGGCTATAGGTGCATGCCACCATACCAGCTAATTATTTTATTTTATTATGTTCAGAGACGGAGTCTTGCTTTGTCAGCCAGGCTGCAGTGCAATGGCATGACCACAGCTCGGTGCAGCCTTAAACTCCTGGCCTCAAGTGGTCCTCCTGCCTCAGCCTCCTGAGTAGCTGGGACTACAGGAGCACCCCACTATGCCTGATTAATTTTTAAAATGTTTTTGTGGATATGGGGTCTCACATTGTTGCCTAGGCTTGTCTTAAACACCTGGGCTCAAGTGATCCTCCCGCCTGGGCTTCCAAAGTAGCTGGGACTACAGGTGTGAGCCACTGCACCTGGGCATATTTCATCATTTGTATTTCCTAAGCAATTCTCCACATTCTGCCTTACTTTGCCTAATATTCCACTAACCTATACAATTCTAAGGCAGAGGTAGCTTTATTTACCATCACTCAGAGTAGGTGCTCACAAAACTCCATTTGCTTGTTGATATTTCTAATTACAAATCTTCTTCTGAATCCTACATATCTTCTAGGTCTTATATTAAAGTATGGCAAAAATATGGCAATGCTCACCATGGTTTCAATACCATCCAGAAGACTCCTGGTAAGATGCAGTGAAGGAAAGAGACTCTGTCTATGGTACTTTAGATATAGATGCTCACAGCCTCTTTGTACACCTATGGGATTTCTTTTAATTACTTCTTTACTTACTGTTCCATTTTTCTGTTTTTTACTCCTTCTTCCCTACCCCTTCACCATAAAGCTTACAGGGATATTTTCTGGCATTTTGCTTATCTCTTCTAGTAGCACTTGAAGATTAAAATATTTCTGACTTCTGAGATATACAATAAAGAATGATAATTACTTTGCTAGGATATTGCTAATCTCAAAACTAACCTCCAAGCTTGTGGAGAAAAATAAACTTTAAAAAATATGAGCTGGATTTTAGCTTTTATTTTAAGACTCTCAAATAAGTTGTCAATCAAAATAGGTAATAGTCAAGAAAAAAATGATCGAAGCTAATGTGCATATGGTTGCATGTTTTTGTATATATGTGTGTGTAAGTATATATATATACACACACATATATGTATACATATACATGTGTGCACACACACACGCACACACACACACATATATAGCAACTACGTACATTAAAAGAAAATTAAAGTCACCAGCAGCTTCAGTAAGCAGTCTTCCTATCTAGCTCTATTCCAAGTTCTGCCATTTGGGCAGTTTTACCATACTACCAAAAAAAAAGGAATCAAAATTTAGAAGAAAAGCAGAGTTGATCTAGGTTGAAAATTATTATAAATATTTTTTTTTCCACTGAAAAGTTTTTCCAATAGCAATACCCTTCCTTTGGTTTTATTTATACCTATGACTTTGTGAGAAAAGACAATGGTTTTCTCAATAAAAATCCATCTTGAAATATACAGTAAATTAAAAATAGTAACTGTAGTCAAACCATAGATTACTTAAGGTGAATGGGTAGAAAACCACTTACCCCCGGTTGCCACAGTGATTTCACGTAGGAAGTGGCCATAAAATGGAAAATCGAAGGACAGATTCACTCTCTGCAAAGAACAACACCAGAGAAAAAAATCAATAATGTATAGTACAGTAAATGTAAAATGAAGAGCCTTTCACTTAAAACAAAAATGATGATTCTACTTTATCCCACAGTTATTGTAGTTCACTTTTAAAGCCTAAGTCCTTGGTGATACTAAAGAATATTTTTCTTGGTAATTAAAGGTTTGAAGTATATGAAAAGAATAAAGTTAACATCACCACTGCATTTTAGTTGTCCACTGAATAATCAGTTCAGTCATGATGATGACCAACTTATTCTGAGGTTCTTTTTAGTTTGACTAGTTCCTCCAAAATAGTAGTGCATGTTATGTCAAGATTCATTGGATTAAAAAGCAAAAGTGATTTTATGTTACACTATGTTACATATTTAATTTGTTTTCCATGCATTCCATAATGAAAAGCAGTTTCATAGAAGATGTCTTGCATTGACCAACAGATCTAAACCTGCAGACTTTTATTTTTGAGATGGAGTTTTGCTCTTTTGCCCAGGCTGGAGTGAAGTTATGCAATCTCAGCTCACTGAAACCTCTGCCCCCCAGATTCAAGCAATTTTCCTGCCTCAGCCTCCCAAGTAGCTGGGATTACCGGCACCAGCCACCACGTCAAATTCATTTATTTTATTATTAATAGAGATGGGAATTTGCCATGTTGGCCAGGCTGGTCTCAAACTCCTGACCTCAGGTGATCCACCTACCTCAGCCTTCCAAAGTACTAGGATTACAGGCATGAGCCACTACGCCTGGCTGATCTGCAGACAGTTTTATCTTTCAAATACAATCAGCTCTCCAAATTTAGCATATTATGTCCACTCTTAAAAACAAAGAGTTGTAGGATAAACAATATTGGTTACTGAAGAGCTTCTTTTACTTGGTTTGGAGTAAATTACCGAGACTTAGGGAGAAAGTTCATAGATTGTACCCTTTGTTTTCCTAAAAAGGGGCCTGATGCTGTAGCTGTTAATATTTAACTGTACACGTATATAGTGTCTACTTTTAAAAAAATAATATATTTTAAAATGTTAAAAACCATAACATATAAAAATAATAATCTTTGTTATATGTTTGAAATGATATTAAATAGATATATTATTATTAGGCAGGAAACAAGAGAAACACTAAAAGTAAGGGCAAAAACCGCAATTACTTTTACACCAACCTAATATAATACAGATGATCAAATGAAATAAAAGTATTCAGAGGGAAAGTAATTAGCTGGTTGAGAGCCCAACAGCACACAAGTACAACCTCCCTATAATAAAAGGCTATTACGTTAAAATTCCACAATTGGTATATCACCCCAAAACACAAATTTTAAAACTAGAAACGTATATCTAGATTGAATTTAACTTTTTCCAATTTTGCAAATGATTGCTTTTTTATAGCCATCATGAATTTCTAATGATTTATTTGGCATGAAATTAATCGCTCATAAAGTGCCTTTCAATTAGGTTTTTTTTTTCTTTTTAACGCAAGCCTCATCTTTATAAAATATTTATGATCATTTTTATTTTGTGCTAACAGGAACAACAAAACCCATTTTCTTGGAGCTAGCTGAAATAAGTGGTCACTAAGAACCCTAAAATGAAAAAAGGGTTCAATGGCAGGATCATTTATCTCAAAGATGTCAGGAATAATTTTGTGAAAGCACTTGCTTAGTATATTGTTTTCCATCATTCTAATTTATTTCCATGCTCATCAGTAAATTGGTAAAATTTACCTTATGCATTCTTACTTTCAGAGTCAGAGTTTGATTTAAACATATATCACTAATGAACCCTATCAATTACCACCAAATACAAACTAAAAGGCTGTAACATGAGTTTCTCAGCCACTGCAAGTATTTAAATATGTTTGGAATTAGATTAAGATACATGGATACGGCCAGGCGTGGTGGCTCATGCCTGTAATCCCAGCACTTTGGGAGGCTGAGGTGGGTGGATCATGAGGTCAGGAGTTTGAGACCAGCCTGGCCAACATGGTGAAACCCCGTCTCTACTAAAATAGAGGCAGGAGAAACGCTTGAACCTGGGAGGCAGAGGTTGCAGTGAGTGGAGATCAGACCATTACATTCCAGCCTGGGTGAAAGAGTAGAACTCTGTCTGTTTTTTTTTTTTATCACAGTCATTTATTTAAAAAACAAACTTTCCAATTTCTGCAGCGTTTTATTTGGTCTATACTGATGCCTCACAAAGACAAACGCAGGTTGTAGAGTTCCTCCTGCCTGGTCGTCACAGCAAGTACAACATCTATTTTTTGAACTCTTCAGGAAGAAAAAGATACACGGATACAGATATAAGTTAAAGACCTTTTCTTGAGGACAAATAGATATTCAAAGGAAATTTGCAAATACATCAACAATTCTGAAGAGTAACACCAATGACTGAAATGCTTCCCTGTTTAAAAGACCAGTTTTCCTTAGTTCACTATTGCCTGCTTCACTCTGATATGGAATCATAATGGCAATTTAGGAAGATGCTGTCTTCTAAAGAGTTGTGTAATCCATTCATTTCTTGTCAATCTGATACTCTTCTCCAAACATAGGTCACTGTCATTGCAATAACTTCCTCGTAAGTGTCATGGCTCTATTTCTCTTTAAATTCATTCTCTATGCCAGGGCCTCAACCCCATGCAACAGATCACGGCCTCCTAGGAAATGGGCCATGCAGCCAAGAGGTGAGCAGCAGGCAAGCCAGCAAAGCTTCATCTATATTTACAGCCGCTCCCCATGGCTTGCATTACTGCCTGAGCTCTGCCTCCTGTCAGATCAGCAGTGGCAGCATTAGATTCTCAGAGGAGTGTGAACCCTACTTTGAACTGCACTTACAAGGGATCTAGGCTGCATGCTCCTTAATGAGATCTAATACCTGACGATCCATCATTGTCACCCATCATCCCCAGATGGGACCTTCTAGTTGCAGGAAAACGAGCTCAGGTCTCCCACAGATTCTATATTATGATGAGTTGTATACTCATTTCATTATATATTATAATGTAATAATAATAGAAATAAAGTACACAATAAATGTAATGTTTTTGAATCATCCCAAAACAATCCCCTCCTACCCTCTGTGGAAAAATTGTCTTTCACAAAACCAATCCCTAGTGCCAAAATTATTGGGGCTTGCTGCTCTGTATTATCTAGCATATCACTCCTCCACTTCAAATCATTCAATCTAGAATCCCATTCTCACTAAGAGTCACGTCAACATAGTAAACATGAGTTCTAGGGCACACCATGAACTGGTTCCTACTATTTGATAACTTTTACCCTTATACTCTCTGCTCCAGCCAGCCAGAGGCAACATATTTTAGTTCCTTGCACATGCTACCCTTAACTCTGGGCTGTGGTGCATATATGTGACATCCTTGTGATGGCAATGTTCTCTCAACCTTGGTCAGTCATGGCTTCCATATTTTTCAAGCCTCGACTTAGTTTGGATTACCCCCAAAGCCAATCTTTATATAAGGACTTAGGGGCAGGCAGTTTATTTGGAAGTTGATCCCAAATGGCACTTGCTCAAGGAAGTAGGAAAAGCAAAGCAAGGAAAAGAGAAAAATCAATAGCAGGTCGAGTATTGGACATGTTATCATTATAGGTGGTTGGGCCTCAGTACCCATGGGCTGAGAAACAGTAGAGAAAAAAAACCTGCCTCAGAATCACTTCACTGGAGATCATGAGTCTGGGACATTAATCTCTCCTATCCTACAAGATGGACTTTGTGATTAATTGGACATAAAAGTTGGGAGTAAGTGAGGGACATCTAGAGTCAAGCATGGATTTCTAGTTGGGTGACTGGTGAACCATAGTGTCACCAATTGAGATTATGAATGCAGGAAGAAGAGCTATTTTGGTTAGGTATGAATGAGAAAACTTGCTGTGTCACTAATTAGTTATGCATCCTTTAATTAAATAATAAATGACCTCAAATAATATAGAAAACAAAGGAATCTTCTGCTATCAAAAAGAATAACAGAGCCCTGGGCATTGTCATAAAAAGCAATGTCAATGACATTTCTTTAAATGTAATACTGGAAAATGGTGCCATTGTTGCAGCTTAAACATTATGTGCTCTTGGATTTCATCCTTTAAGGAATATTTAACGTGAATGAAAAAAAAAGATTCAAGAAAATGGTGGTGGGAAGACCCAATAAATGGATTAAGAGTCTTGCCAAAATAGAAAATAAAAGCTCGGAAGTAAAATATTAAAGAAGCATAAATAAAATCAACTGAATTTGCTAACTACTTTCTTAAAATCTATGGAAAAGAGTTAACTAGTTGAAAGAAGCGGGAATGGTAACTTTGAGACAAGCAAAAGAAGTATTACATCTTATATGGCAGAAAATAAATTTATGAAACATTTTTGAAGAGTTGGTAGAGGTGTACCTCTACCAAGAGTTTAGGTGGTTTGCAGTAAATTTATGGTACCTACGTCCATATATGACTGTGCCTTAAGGTCACGTCATGCTTTCCCAAAACATATCCCATTAACACTTCTGCTGGCAACAGACTATCAGACTCATTCAGGGTCATACTCCTAGATTTCCGAGTGTGTCTACACTTCTTCTTGCCCTCTTTACATATTTTTTCTAGGCTAATTGCTATTCATTTTCACACTATTATAATCTCTACTAATTCTTTTTCAATAACAAGAATTATAATCCTAAATATACCCAACTCCCATTTGACTTGCTCTTGTTTGCCTATTTCTCAGTGGTATGGCAAGGATGAATTAATTAGTCAATGCCTCAAAACTTTGAAGACAGAAACCTCTTAATAAAGAGTTAAGAGTCTGGGGCCGGGCGCGGTGGCTCACGCCTGTAATCCCAGCACTTTGGGAGGCCGAGGCGGGTGGATCACGAGGTCAAGAGATCGAGACCATCCTGGTCAACATGGTGAAACCCCGCCTCTACTAAAAATACAAAAAATCAGCTGGGCATGGTGGCGCGTGCCTGTAATCCCAGCTACTCAGGAGGCTGAGGCAGGA